CTATAGATAAGTTGCTAATTACAATATTTTCCTGAATTATTTTGTATGTATTTAAACTGGTTAATAATCAAGTACTATTAGATATTAATAAATGTTGATTCCTTATCAAATCATCACTGGGCTACTACTTTCATCTGCGACACCCCCGCACCCCAACCAAAACCTCCGTAACTTGTCTGGGTCCTGTGTTTCCCAAACAGAGCTTCTGCACCTCAACCAGAACCCCCTGAAACCTCTCTGAGCCCCCTGCACCCCAGCAAGATGCCCTGCACCCTGTCTGAGACCCCTGCATCCCAACCAGACCCCCTGTACCCCAAACAGTCCCTCTGTACCTTGACTAGATCCCATGCACCCTGTCTGGGCCCCCTGCACCCCAAGAAGGCCCCTGCAACCTGTCTGACCCCCCTGCATTCTGTCTGGGTGCCCTGAACCCCAAGAAAACCCCCTGCAACCTCTTTGGCCTCCCTGAACACCAACCGGACACCCTGCAAACTCTCTGGCATCCCTACAGGCTGTCCTGTGCCCCTTCACACTGTCTAGGTCCCCTGAACCCCAAGCAGATGCCCTGAGCCCCAACCAGCCCTGCTACACCTTGTCTGCCCCCCACACACACACCCCAACCAGACCCCCTGCACTTGACTAGACCCCATGTGCCCCGCTTCCCCTCTGTTCACCCCATCTGTGCCCTCTGCACACCAAGCAGAACCCCTGCACCCCAAACACACCCCAGAAACCCGCCTGGTCCCCCTGCACCTGTTTGGGTCTCCTGCACCCCAACAAGACCCCCTGCACCCCAAACAGGTGGTCTCTATACCTTGACTAGCCCCCATGCAACATCTCTGCCCCCCCCGCACCCTGATTGGCAGCTGTGCACACTGTAAGGGCTCCCCAAACCCCATGTAGACTCCCTGTCCCCCAAAGAGACCTCCTGCTCTTGACTAGCCCCCATATGCACCCTGCTTTCCCCCCCTGCACTCCAAGCAGACCCCCTGCACCCTCTCTGGACCCCCTGCAACCTGCCTGGCCCCCCTGCACCTCAGCCAGACACTCAGCATCCTGTCCGGACCCCTTGCACATGACACACAACCCCTGCACCGCAACAAGATCCTACACATCCCAGCCAGATGCCCTGCAACCTGCCTGCACCCTGTCTGAACCGTCTGCCCCCCCAAGAAGACCCCCTGAACCCTGTATGTGCCCCCTACACCCTGTCTTGGCTCCCTGTTCCCCAATCAGACCCGCTGTAACCTCTCTGGCTCCCTAGCACCCTGTCTCGGCCTCCTGAACCCCAACCAGACCCCCCGCACCCCAGAAAGAACCCCTGCACCCCAACTAGCCCTGCTACACCTTGCCTAGTCCCCCTGCAACCTAAACACCCTGTCTGAGCCCCGTGCACCCAGGAAGACTTGCTTCGCACTGTGTGGTTCCCCTGCACACCAACCAGACTCCCTGAACCTTCGACCCCTAGTCAGCCCCAGTGGTCTCCACTCCCTCCCAGTTTCTCCCAGTGCACACACAGTGCCTCCCACAGAATTCAGCGTATCCCTGTACCCTCCAGTCCCTCCCAGGGTCCCCCAGTGCCCGCCAGCATCTCCCAGTCCATCCGGTGTTCTCCTAGTCATGTCAGAGACCCCCTAGTATTCCCCCAGTGCCCTCCAGTCCCTCCCAGTATCTTCCAGTGCCCCACCAGTGCCCCCAACTGTGTCCCAGCCCGTCCAGTGTCCTCCCAGTCCTGCTCAGACCCCCTAGGATCCTTACAGTACCCTTCAGTCCTCCCAGCAGCCCCCCCACGGTCCTCTGCAGTGCGTCTCCCGCTCTGTTCCGTGTCCCCTCAGACCATCCAGTGTCTCCCAGTACCCCCCAGTCCCTCTCAGCATCCCTCCAGTGCACCTACAGAGTCCCTCAGTGTCTCCCAGTCCTGCCACAGACTCCCTGGTAACTCCCAGTGCCCTCAAGTCCCTCTCAGTGTCCCCCAGTGCCCATCCCAGCATTTCCTAGTGTATCCCAGTCCATCCAGGGTCTGCCAAGTCCTGCCAGAGACCCCCTAGTATCGCTCCAGTCCCCTCCAGTCCTTACCGTGTCTCCCAGTACGCCCTCAGTGTCCTCCAGGCCCCTCTGCAGCACATCCAGTGTCTCCCAGTTTGTGTCCAGGGTCTCCCATTATGTTCCGCGGCCCCGCAGACCTCCCAATGTCCCCCAGTGTCCTCCAGTCCTTCCCCATGTCCTCCTGTCCTCCCAGTGCCCTCTTGTTGAAAAACAGTGAAGGAAAAAACATTGTTCAGGGTAGTGTAAAAACTTAAGCAATTGGTCAAACACCTGCAACGCGTTGTCCGTCACATAGAGGTCCCTGAGCTAGGCGAGCGTGATAAACGCCTCCTGGGAAACGCAGACGTGGAGAGGCCCCATGAGGAAATCGGGAGACTCCTAATCGCGAGCCATTGTCCTTGAAGATTAAGGCCCTCTGCAAAAGAACAAACTAGCTGAAGCTAGGCAGGAGATAAGAAAGTGCAAACAGAAACCAAAGAAAGACCAATTCCAAACCGCAGACAAAGCATAAGAAAGGATGCTCTCCAAAGACCACCAGAGGTGGCTGGAGACCACCGACAACCCCCGCGGAAGTCCCTCAGAGACCTAAACTGCACACATAATAATTATGTGATCACAGTAATGACTTTTTGGAAATTGGATGAATAGACACGTAACGGAGCAATATAAGCTTTGGCTATCGTAACGTACAGCAAGCATGTTAGGCAGAACGATTCCCTTGCGTCCCCGGCCAAATAAAGCAATGCCCGCTCATTAACGCTAAACGCGATTTCAGTGAGGGAGGGAGAGAGACAGGGAGATGCTGAGAACAGATACGAGTCGCCGGGTAGAGGGAGACCTTCCGATGCGATTTTCACAAGCGACAGGGAAGGCGGCAGCATGGAAGGAATGAAATGCTTCAGGCGGCTGGGAAGCCAGCAAGGGAGCGGCGTGGAAAGGACGTGGAGAAGGCGACGGGGGACGGGGCGGTGTCGGCAGAACAGCAGAAAGCTGCGGGGACCCGGCCAGCCCGAAAGGCAGCCGGAGGCGGGAGCAGGCGGGCAGCTGGAGAAGCGCGGCCGGGACCGGCCCGGGGGGACGCGCGACCCGCCGCAGCTCCCGGTACCGGCCCCGGCCCGAGGCTTTCGCAGCCCCGGGGCTCGTCTCTCCGCCTCCGCCCCTTCCCACCTCCGCAGCGCCGGCTGCCCGACCCTCACCCACGCGGGGGCGGGCGGCACGCGCCTCCGAGCGCCTCCCCCGCGAGGCTTCCCGGCCACCCGGCGGCTCGGGGGCGCCGAGCTCCCGGCGCCGGTGCTGCGCCCCGTCGGGGCCGGCCGGGAGGAATCCTTCCTCGCCGCACGGACCGGCCGCTCCTGGCCGCGGGCAGACGCGGCTGAGACTCTCTTTCTTCCGCTCCTCGGCCAGCTCCCGCGGGCGGGCAGCCCCCCCGCCCCCGACTCCCAGCTGGAGCCCCTCGGCACGGCGGGGCCGGCCCCACCCGCAGCCTCACCGGCTGCCCCTGGGGCTGCCCCAGTCCCCAGCTCCCCAGCTCCCCAGCTGCAGCCTATTTAAAACCTTGGCCCGGTCCCATCCTCACCTCACCGGTCCCACCTGAGCTGCCCCGGCCCCAGCCCACAGCTGGAGCCCGTGGGGAGCGGGGGGGCCGTCGGTACCCGGCGTGCCATAAGCCCGGCTGAACAGGGTCTGGATTTTAATGCGGCCTGGGTGCTCAGGGGATTTTCCTCGAATCAAGCACACTTAACGGCAGGTGCAGGTGTTTCCTTTACACACCCAAACCACAGGTTGGTACTTTGCCAAACACTCCTATCAGACACCCATTGGTCAGCGATTAGAATACAATTAGAATGCAGATTGCACACCAACAAGGCACCCTGCACACTGTCTGGCCACTCCGCACCCCAACCAGACCCGATGCACCTTGCCTGGACCCCCTTTCATCCCAAACAGCCCCCCTACAAACTCTCTGGCCACCCTGCAGCCTGCTTGGCACCCCTGGACCCTGTAGGGACCCCTTGCACCCCAAACAGACCCCCTAGACCTTACCTGGGCCCCCTTGAACGGCAACAAGACGCCCCTGCGACCCCAACTGCACACCCTGCAACCTCTCTGGGCCCCCTGAATCCCAACCAGTCCCCCTGCACCCTGCCTGGCCACTCCTGCACCTCAAATAGACTCCCTGCAACCTACCTGTTTTTTCGCCTAAAGGAAAAACAAGGACAAAGAAGTTAAAAGAGGAAAATTTTAAAAGCACAGGGGAGCAAGGAAACATAGAAAAAACTGAAAATAGCACCTAAATTTAAAAGGAAGAGCAACCTATGAAACCACCGTGCCACCCCTCAACACTCAAGAAAAGAATCCCTCTCCTGAAAAAACAAACAAACAAAACAAAACCAAAAAACCAAACTGGCAAATGAGTCTACTTTCTACTCCACATGGTGCTCAACGTTGCCTGACGTTGAAGCTCTTCCTGCAAACATGCGTGCTCCTCTGAAGGTCAAAACGCATCTGGCCAAAAAACTTCAGCAGCTCAAAAGCTGCCATCGAGGGAAGGACCAAGACCTCTACACACACCACCCTACCACCTCCCCAAAAAAACCCCAAACAAACAAAAAACCCTATGGCCTCATGTATTTTTTTTTTTTTTTTTGGAGCTCATCCCCATCTCAGCATATTGTCTTGTCAGAGCATCGAGTACAGATGGATCTGTATCCCGAGGACATTTGCATATGATGAATAGATGTTCAGAAATAGCCCAGATCTGCAAGACTGGTGTCATTTTTGTGTTTTAATAATCATAACTCAATTTTATTGACTTATGCATTTGTGAGGAAACCAATTAACTCTGGAGAGGAAAAAAAAAAAAAAAGGTGTCAGACTGAAAAAAATAAATGATTCAGAGCTCCCAACCATGATGGAGCAGTGGGGAAATTAATAAAAGATAAACGGCAGCAACATTAAGTGAAATTTAAATTTAATTCTGATCATGTACTTAAGTGTACAAGTCTACACCTCAATCTTATGAATGACTGGTCCTTTTTTTTGAAGGAAAAACTTTTTTACCTAAAAGTCCTAGATTGAATGCTCCGCAGAACATAATGTGGATTGTGCCACAGGGCAACATGTCACCAACATTCTTAATTAAAAAAAAAAAAAATCTCAAATATAAATCAAGTTTAAACATCACTTCTCGTTGTGTTTTATTCATTACATTTCTACTGGCACCTAGGTGTGCAAAAATTAACTATATTGACACCACATATTACTAGAAATTTAGTTATGCATATGAAAATAAAAGGTTATTTCCAACTTGCTCATAAAATTAGTATGAGCAAACAGAAGAGAAACACTTAACCTTAAAGAGGGTAACAAGCAGCTGTTAATTATCACAGGCAAAAGTTCATTCTTTTACTGGAAAGGAAAACGTTCATCACTAGGAAGGGACCAACTAATGTTCTATTAAAAGCCATTTTTCATCAGCTTTTCTGCAATGGCAGCAGGTTTGCCTTTCCTGCTGGTTTGATGCAAAGTATCCGTAGTATCTCTGAACTCACAAATGTTTCTCCCCACTCCCCCAGCCCTGTATGTGTGATCACCTGAGCAGCAAATGGAATAAACGATGCAGAACTTTCTTCACGTGATGCAGAAGGTGCATCTGTGAAAAGGAAAGGCATAAAATTAGCCCGTTTGTCACACCCAGCCTGCAGTGAAAAACCAGGGGAGGATTCTGCCCAAGGGTCACGCGGGTCCCAACCGGGCACCTCGGGAGCTCTGACCAGCCAGGTTCTCTCCCCTCTGCCAGGTACCGAGGAAATGATGACCACTCAGCCCGCACCCTCCTTGCAGCAGGGCTGCACCAGAAGAGCTGGGGGATTCTCACCTCGCTTCTGTCCTCAGGAACAGGGCCGGGAGATCCCCTCCACGCAGACAGAGATGCGTGGCCTGGATATAATCCCCGCGGCAAAGGCCAACTCACCTCTCCGCTCTCAGAGGTCCTTGCCGGGGCCAGCCCTGCCTGTGCCCGGTCGCTCTTCAGCCGGGCTGGAGCGGGGCGCATTCGGACCACGGGGACTCCAGTGACGGGACCTCCCAGCTCAGCACATCTCCTGCTCCTCACAGCTCCAGGGAATTAGCAGACACCCCATCTCCCTCCAGCTCCTGCTTGCTGCTCAGCTCTGCATTGAAGCTCCTGTTGATTTCAGCTCTTTCTCCTTGCAAGCCCCAGTTATTTGCAACAGTCTGGGCTTTTGATAAATCAATCGCTGTCAAAACTAGAGTATTAGGAGTAGACATCATAGCTGTACATTGTAAAAATATTAGTTTGTATTAGTAATTAGTTAATAACTATCCTGAAGAGGGAAGACATATGGAAAATTACAAATTGTCAGTAGCGGCAAGGTCTATTTACAGAACTGCTTAATGTAGTAATATTTTGTTCACAGTTCTGCTTAGAAATCTGCCTAACGAAGGAATAAGGTACACTTTATCTATGATTAACAGGCTTGAGCCTTGAGCCCATCTGCTTACATGATTCAGGTACACGCCTATCTATGAAAAACAAGATAATGGAAGAAGAACACTGAAGCTTGCAGAACTACCAGATGCAACTGGATTTGTGGTCCCAGCTGTAAGGGAAAGGGGAAGACAGAAACAAGTTCACAGAAAGGACACTGTGATGAAGATGAAAATGAAGTAATGATGACATAAACGACCACCGGGGGTCCTAGAAGACCACCTAGAGACTGCAGTGCGCCTGTCAAAGTAGGTGGCAACATATTATAATGATTTCTTGGAAAAGTAATGAATATTGTAAATAGTTCTTGGAAATTACATGAACATGTAAGTGAATTGGGTATAAATACCATAAACTCCCCTACAGTGGTACGCATATTAGGAGGAATGATCCCCTATGCATCCGACATCAAATAAAGAATACCTGCTTAATAGCCATTATGGCTATTGAGACTGAGTTATCAGCTTCAACACAAAACACCGTACAAAGAAGAGCTGGATTCAAAAAGGGCACGTGGGGTCTGAAAAGCACTTTTCCCCCCAGAGACCACCTCAGATGTTGAGTTCGGCCTGGTGCGTGCCAGCTTCCCAAACTCTGACACCACCGTGGGGGTCGACATCACCTAATACCTGCCTCTGGGGAGGGTCTGCGCACCCTGCTCATCCCCTGCTTTCCCACCACAGCCCCCAATGTCGTCCCACTCACCTCTGCCTCTCACCCGCCTGCAAAAACAGCCAAACTAACCTCTATTTTTTTTACACGCAAACCAGTTGACCTGGTGTCCGTTTCTGAGCCCCATAAAAGAGCTGCTGAGCCTGTTCTCAAGTCCCAAAAAACGCAGACCTGGACCTCAGTTTCTGAGCCCAAAGCCACACAACTCAATCTGTTTCTGAGCCCCAAAATCAGCCACAGGAGCCTGTTCTCAAGCCCCAGGAACAGAGAAGTCAGTCTCCATTTCTGGCCCCCAAAACAGCTGACCCTGTCTGCTTTCTGACCCTCTCTACAGTGCCTGTGTGTGATGCTGAGGGGTGGAGGATGCATAGCCGCTCCACAGCCCTGCATCCCCAGAGGCCCACAGGCAGTTTTGGTAAGCACTTGGGAACTGCGCAAAGGCCAGCCCCACACCTCTGCGGGGCCGCACCAGCACAGGCGGGGTAGCGATTCGTTCTTGCCGTTTCAGGCTTTATTTTTTCGGCATCATCAGTACCGCACCCCAAAGCCCCTAGGGCCAAATGACCCCCTCGGGGAGCCACGTACAGCCATCCCCACCTCCAAGCCGAACGCAGCCCGACACCTCTCCAAGAAACCCCGGCAGCGGCAACTGGGGCCCTTGCCCGCCCGTGCGGGCACCGCGATCCGCCCGCCGCCGCAGGAGCCCCCGGGACCGCCGCTGCCCGACCCGCGCCGAGAGCGGCAGAGGCTGCCCGGCCCCAGCGGATGGGATGACCCTGCTCCCCCGGCCAGGCACACGCGCGGGCTCAGCCACAAATGCCGCCAGCGACCGCGGGGCAGCCCCCGACAGCACCGGGATAGCAGAGCCACCCGCGGAGGCTCGGCCCGAGGGATCCCGCATCCAGAACCGGCGGCCCCTCACCTGCCCCGAGGCGAGCTCCCGTTACTGCACAGCCCGGAAGAGAACCCAACAACCGTGCCGACCGCCACCGCTCCGCGGGTCCCGGCGCAGGCGGTCCGCCCCGCCCCGCCCCGCCCCGTCTTTATCACAGTCACGGGGCGGGGAACATCGGGCTTCAGGCGCATGCGCAGCGCTGGGAGCTAATGCGCATGCACAGAGTCCGGCGCCACAGCGCATGTGCACTGAGGGGTGCCACTGCGCACGCACGGGATTGGGGGCCGATGCGCATGCTCCTGCTTGGGCACCACTGCGCGGGCGCGCCGTCGGGCACCAATGCGCATGTGCGCTATCGAGGTCCAGTGTGCATGTTCGGGGTCGGGCACGCGAGCGCGCTGTCGGGCGCTACGGCGCATGTGCGAAACTGTGTGCTACTGTACGTGGACGGAGTCGGGTGCCACTGCCAAATTAGTTTTGCTGGGTCTCTTCGGCGTGATTTTCCAAAGCTTTAACAGTGCTTCCCTGGTAGGTTATGTGATAAAAAGTTCAAGAGTGCAACATAGCCAAGCTAACTGCCCGCTGGCAAGCCATGACGAGTCTCAGCATGTCACAAAGTACACCGAGGCCAGTATGACACCAGTTATGCACCCTGGCGTGCCCAGCAGACCAGCATCGTGACAAACAGTTCCGTGCCGGGACACTACATCTCCCAGCATGCCTCGCAGACCAATATGGCCGACCGGAAGACTGGTGCCGAAAGCCTCCGATTCTCGGCGTGCCACGGAGGCCTCACCTGGGCAATCGGACGTCCGGTGCCGGAAGACTACATTTCCCGGCATGCGGCAGGACACCGTCCTGTTCCCTTTCGTCTCACCCCTTCACTCGAGAGGCCGGGATGCTCCCGTGGCGCTCGGATCAAGGCCTCGGGATCCCTAGCACCGCTGCCGGCCGCGGTTCAGGTCCGGTGCTCCACTGCTGCCGCGCACCTCTCTGACACCGCCCATGCCTTGCCACGTCTTCGAAGCGCCCCCGCCTGTGCCCCCCCGCGCAACCCTTGTCAGGGCTTTCCCCGGGGCTCCCCTTTAACACAGCCCCGCCCTAAGCCAGGTGGACCTGCAGTCCTACGCTAACACCCGAGTGGGCCCCAGCCCTCGGGCAGCCCTGCGTGTCTACATGCAAAAACACCGCTGCACCTGTCCCTCCAGCCCTGAGCCACCCATGACCCTGGCACCATACCCTGCCCTCCTCAGCCCTGGTGTCATTTTCCCTGGATCTTATCTCGGTGACCCCCCTTTTCTTCCCCAGCCCTTCTTCCCCCCCTTCCCCTTCCCTGCATTCCTGTCGCATTTCCTGGGACGTTCCCCAGTTGCAGGGACAACCCTCATTCACCTGTTACGCAGTAGCAGTCCTAGTGTGCGATGCCTCTGTTGTCCTAGATGGGCTCAGGGGTGGCAGTGTGAAGCCCATACCGTGGCAGCAACACAGCCCAAGAGCCCCTGTCCCTGTGAGATGCAGAGGGGCCATTGCCATAGGCCCCACAGGGAATACCTGACACTTGTCATCCCCTAGCCCAGGCCCTTTGCATACAGTTGCAGCCCACAAATATCACTGGTTATCGCTACCAGCCCTACTGAGGACAGCTGTGCTGCCGGGGTAACAAAGGTGCGTCCCAGTTGCTGAGAGCAGCTTGCCAAAAGCTAAAGGGTTCTGGGGTGCACAGAAAGGAAAAACGAGGAGAACAAAGGGAGAGCTTTGGGGTGCAACAAAACGGGGGGGGAGGGGGGGGGGGGCGGCGGAGGGGAAGGAAAACATACATTAGCAGGCGAGAGGAAAAACGTAGGACTCCGGGGGGGGGGAAAAGGCAAAGGTGGAGGGGAGCTGGGCCACACAGAAAGATGTCCTTACAGCACACCAGAAAAGCGCTGGGAAAACTGGGGTGGGAGAAAGCTAAACAGGAAGCATTGGGGCGTGCTGCGATGCAAACAGCACCTTGGGCCATGCAGAAGGACTTGGGGGCAAACTGAAATATGAGCTCAGGAGGGGCTCTGCAGCATACCCAAATACAAATAAAGGGCCCTTGGTGCACACCAAAAGGGCCATATGGCATGCTACGGGGCTCAGCATGCTTGATAGCAAGTGGCCCGCAGTTATCACCAGACCTTGTGGAAACTCCATCTCCCAGAACCACTCGCACTACCCCTGCTCTTGACTCCCAAATGTACCCAGGGCACCTCAGAGTGCCAACAGAAACCGGGAGCAGCTCGGGGATCTCACACAGCACTGGGAGGGGCCTGGGTGGCCTCTGGATGATCGTAAATGCTACCAACAGCCTCGAGTGCCCCTGGCAATGCAAGGGAAATCCCCTGCGGCCTGGTGAATGGCACTGGTGTAGGCTGCACAGGTGTTTCTCATCGCTTGTTGCAGGCCACACAAAAGTTTCTTGTTGCGCCCAAGAACCCACAGTGCGTATTATTATATGTACAAATTTTCTCACCAAATACAAGGACAGATTGGACGCATCTGCTAGGTCAGCTTGTTCTTCAAACTGTCAACGGTAGTTGGTAAGGAAGCTACTGCCCCTGATGAAGGGAAACATCCTGGAACCAGGAGTCTCGTTAAAAATTGTTTCCTGGGAATCAGTTTAATTAGAGATTAGTGTCCTTTGGAGGAACTATCCTCATTGTAACAGTAAACATCACACCTACTGCTTCGGAGACACCTGCCCAAATAAAGGCCCTTACCCTTCCAGCTTGTGCAGAAAATTAAAATCACCCCGCAACTTTAAATCAAAGCGAGCGTGTTCCTAACCAATGAGGGGTAGAAGCGATATGTAACTAACCGATGGTCATCATAGTAATTATGTAATCGTGTAGTTTGAAATGTGTAAATACTTTGAATTTCCTTTGTGTGGTGCGCTAGCTTTGTGGAATTACCACCTGGCACCCATTCTTGTGCAACTATGGAATAAACTGGTATCTTGACTGTGTGTGAGATTACTTTTTGCACACCAGGTGATGAACCGTCTTTGAGGGACAACACTGGTAGCTGTCTGGGAACCCCTCATCACACCAAAGGGGTCCAAAAGATCTTGGGACCAGCTCCCGTCCCTCAGACACAATAGGTAACCTCCATCCCTCAGGCACTGTCACAAGTGCTTGATGAGTCAAAGGGACTGCAGGAGCCACAGCCATGGGTACAAAGAGTAAACCAATCATTTATTAATTATTACACATAAACAACACCTGGGATTGAGACTTCCACAGGGCTTTGTGCCATTATACTTTCCCCTCCTGTGAAACCTGAACAGTTGCTCCTGGACTGGTGTTCATCACTCCGGAGAGGAAGGGTCAGCTCCTGCCATTGCTGTCGATGTGGCAAGTCAGCATGCAGCTGTCAGCTTCCGTTGAGCTTTTTCTTCAGGCATGGAATTCACTTCTGGTATTTGAGAGGAAAACCACTGGTGACACCTGTCCGTGCTTCTGTCTCATGCTCTGAGCCTGAAAGTGTATTTCACACTTCTTGGCTCCCTGCCACCTCACTGATCTGGCACAGTGCGTCATGCTTGTACAGTGTCTTACTGAGACCTCAGATTAGAGCACAGAACCGAACGCTGGGTGGCACAGGGGAAAGTTTTTGTGGTGATCTTGACCGCCTGCATTGCCCTGCACTGAACGTCAGCTGGCAGCTGGCGGGTGGCCCCAACACACAGCCACCCCCGCAGAGGTAAGCATCCCCCTGATGCTTGCTATGCTGGCGAGGCATGTTCCACCGGAGCCCCCGGCTACAGGGTCACATTTGTAGCCACAGAGCAGGCTCAGAGCTGGGACACCCGCTGAGAAAGCAAGGACACGCACTGCTCCCTGCTCCTGCTCTTTTCATCCTGCGTGATCCTAGAGCTGGGGGATAGTTCTCTCCCACCCAGTTTCCAGTTCAGGGCCCGTCCCACCCCATGACCTGGCTTCCTGGTGGTGGTACCAGCAACCCCTCGGTCACACGAAGCTCTGCAGTTGCTGGGGCCCCCTCGGCATCCTCCTGGGGCCACATAAAGCTGGCTACATTCTTCCTCCTTGCTCTCCTGTATTTCTGGGCACCCTGTTGTGTCATTTTGCTTGTAAGAGTTTGCTTTCCAACTCCTTCATCCTCACTCTCTTTCAGAGCAAATACACTCCTCGAGGAGTAAGAGTAACAGTAATAGTGTTAGGAGAGATGTGCACTGGAGCCCTCAGTCTCACATCTTTCTGCTTCACACAGTAGGAACAGAGTCACCGTAGGGTTCCCAGAAGTACTTTGACAATTATTTTTGTCACAGCAGGCATCGCAGAAAACCACCATATGGCTTGCAAGCTCCCACATTATACATTTAGAGCGTGAAGATTCTGCTTAACACTGAGACCAGTCTACAGGAAAGTCTCGGGAGGTCACAACTAAATCTACTCTGCAGCTATAGGAGCAGCCCAGAACTGGGAAAACTGAAAATAGCTTAGGACCATCCTCCAGAATGCACAGCACAATACTACTGCCTTACATATCTGACAATTGCATAACATGTGCAGAACAGCCTTTCACATAACTATCTGGAATTGCAGATAAAGAGTACTTTCACTCATTGTTTCTGTGTCTATTAGAAATGCACTCTGAGCTGACTGACTCGCAAGAATGCTTGAGACTCAAGGTGGATGTAATTGTATTTTATACTAATTTTGACTATTCTGATGAGTGGGGAGAGTCATCATCCATCAACACTTCACGCTGCCATCTAAATATACCATACTAACACATTTAATAAATGAAAATACAGATTTCAGCACATATGTAAAGTTGAAATTTGTGTTGAAAACAAACATGAACAACAACAAGCAAATCCCACCCCTGTGAAAAATACCATTTTCCAGTCTCACACTGTAGGCAGGAGATCAAAAGCAAGAAGTAGTGATTTATGCAAGCAGAGCCATCCCTGGCTTGGATATATCACTCTACCTCTCTTTTCTAGCCGTCGAGGCATGCGTTTCCAATTGATATGGCCACAGCAACCCCTTTTAAATTTGACTGAATTCTGTCCACAATAACAGGAGTGCTCTGCTAGTGATAAGCATCCTATCCGCTGAGCTACCAAACGCTGCATTTTACAAAATAGCAAGTTCTGATTATGCTTGCTTACCACCAACCGGAAAAAAAAGATCTCTTTCACAGATTGAGATGGACAGCAGAATAGCTGAAGAGCAATCAAATTATTCTGAAGTGTAGAACCCCAGGAAATCTATGAAAGTCAAAGTCTAGCTCTCACCATTTCCCAGTGATCAATAAGGCAAACAGTAGCTTCCGTTATGCAAGATTTGTTTTAAAAACAGAAAAGCGTACTTCCCTCTTGTTCAAGGCCAGTCACTTAAAAAAAGCTGTATAACACTTTAAAGAGATACTGAATACCAAAAGACAAACACCTCTGTGTAAATATTCACCATCTTTTGGGTCACTTCTACAGGTAAGGTTGCCACATTTCAGGGATGATCTTCTAAAATATTCATTCAACAACTGAATCACCATTATTAGCAGAAGCAGTTTGAGGAATGCTTCATTATGCTCAAAAACATGAAAGCCCTCTCAGCTGCACACTTAACATGCTACAGACCTGTGCTACCTTTTCTTTCAGTATCTTAATATATTTATGTTAAAACAGAGTTCTACCCTGCAATAAATTGCATACTATTGTAAATGTCAAATCTATAGAATTATTGAGAACCATACATAAAAGGAGAAGGCAAATGTAACAACAACGACAACAACAACAAAAAGGCAACATCAAAGACCCTACCATTCATTAGTAAAACTCTGAGATGTGTACATACTGTTGTCCGTTCCTGTATTGACTGAGCACTATCTAGTGCTTTGCTTTTATTTATTTACAAGGAGTCTCCAAACTAAAATTTTGTAACTATGAGGTACGAGACATACCATTACGTTGAGCTACCGACCTCGAGTTCTCTTCATGGCAAGCGGTGATACGGTCGCTAAAATTCAACATGTGATCCACTCTATCGAATGCTGGGGTCCAATTTTGGACAGGATAAATGATCCTGATGTTTCCGAGAGCTCGTGCGAATCAAACGACACAAATGGCTATAACAAACCGCTTCCTTTACCCAAATGACAATGAACAAGATTTTGGGGCTAAGGAGCTGGCATTCCGCAATCACTGAGGAAAAATGATGCATGCCACTAGGCTGCACATGAAGGCCACTTTCCACCAGGCTCACTGAGAGAGAACTGGACTACGACCAAGCAGCATCACAGATCCTTCCTGTGTTCTGCTGTTCTATATATCAGGAACAGTGCAAGATCTGAGCTACACAGAATGGTGTTTCAGCTGGTTTTACACCACTTTTGCCTTGATCTATTAACATTTCACTCTTCAACTAAGGATCTGGTCCCTGCTTTGTGAAAAAGCATATCCATACATGGAAGACAATGTAGATTTGCAACGAGTATGCCGATAAACATCGTTAGGGCAGCGATCTCTTTGGCACAACAGTCTAACCTTACTGCCCCTCAAAGTCCTATTATGGTACCCAAGTTGGATCTGTACAGAACAATTATACAAAAAGGATCGTTCTTCCTCAAAATGGCAAAACCAAATTATGACTTTACCGTAAGACTTACTGTAAGACTCTTTCAGGTCAGCAGTCTCGAATGCAGTTTATCAGCAACTACTCCTTTTGCTTCTGCTCTTAAGAGAGGCAATCAGATTTCATTTTTCAAAGTTTGGCAGAGAAATTATCTTCTAATTTCAGCTCTAGAGTGCACATACTTTGAGGGTTCTTCTGTAGATTGCCGGTAGACTGAGTCAAAGCCTCGGCATTTATTTTTAAGGCTTTCAGCTGTATCCTATCATCACTGTCTTCACTGTTAGAGATGGGTCGTATTTCTTGAATTTTCAAGAGATCTCCAGTACTGCGAGTCTTCTCTGTGTTACTGGAACTCATTCTCAGGGCTCTTCTTGGAAGGTCTTCCTTTCTCGAGCTAATCTTCTGAAGTTTAAAAGGGAGCTTGTTTTGCTCTCCTGCAGTATCAATGCAGTCAAGTGAACAAACCTGTTCTCTTCTGGTTTTGCTATTATCGCCAGGACTATTCAAAGGAGATGATAGGGACGGGTTTTCTTCTTGCTCTTTAACACTGTAAGGAGGAGTGGGGACTTCAAAGGTAGCATGAAACTGAGAATAATCAACACGGAAAAAGCCATCTTCTAGGGACATTACCGGGAGGAATCTGTGACCCCAAAGAACTTCATCTTCTGTATATGAAGTCCTAGCTTGACACGTCATTCCTACGGAATCAGAGACAAGAGTGTGATTTTCTAACATAAGCAAGTAGACAGGCATATGGAACAAAAAATACAACGCAAGGCAGATGGACAAAAATCCATTGTAGCCTGTAAGCTAACACATTTATAGATTATGAAGCGGAGTGATTGTTCCTCGTCAATCTCCTGACAGTCAATGGAGTGCCTCTAATGTATTGGCTAGATTTTTATGCAAATATTGCATTAAATACTGCAGATTCACACCGAGCAAACAGCTTTTGCTCAAAGTAGAACATAAAATTAAGACAGTATTAGCTCTCTAGCAACAACAATCTTACAGTTTATATGTAATACTGTTTCTTGGAAGCCACCTTGTGAGAAAGAACCATTGCATAGCAGAGGCTTACAGAACTCTCTGGCAAAGATAGGGCGTGGAGGTGGCCAAAGCTAAATGTAAAATTTCATCTTCCATTCCTTCTATAGGCTAGACTACTTTTTCTCCAAATAGTTTGTCAAGACAAAAGCTGTGCAGAGACACTGCAGCTGTCTTCCATGCTAAGACATAGGTACTGCTGTAAAGCCCGTAGAAGAATTAGTTCCAGTTAGTGCAAACATACATCACTGGCAGTATTGACACATGTGAACCGACAGCTCAAATGCGTTCTAACCAAGCCAACAAATCTGTTACAATCTCAGCACAATAGTGCTGATGATAATACAAATACCCCAGGTGATAAGAACTTTGAGACTGCCTGTCACGGTACGCTTCAGAGGCAGAAAGAGCAGCCCAAACTCTGATGTGCTCTCCGATTACTGCTACATTCATTCTCTGACAAGCGTAAAATGTTTCCCTTGTGATACCTGATTAGGTAATCACATGAAGTGTGGTTATGAATACATGCTTATCTAAGATACATGGTTCAGTTGTGGGATGAAAAGAGGCTTCTGTCTAAAGACAGCTGCACTCGATGTGAAAGAGTGTTCTGCCCTGGTGGATTGCGTGTTTAGGGCTCAGGGCAGCACAGGGATAGTAATTGGTCAGTTCCGTTTCCCATCCGGCATGAGATGACTGCACTTGGCTGCATGAAAAGGACATTACTGTTTCTAAGGCAGGAACTGAGCAACCAGTAATCTTGTCGAAAGAAGGATGAAAATAATTCCTGATTAATCAAAGTTTAACAAAGACTCAAAAGAAGGGTGGGGAAGATCAGAGTATCGATGAACCTACTGAATGATTTGGACTTTAACAGTACGCATGGATCCTCAACACAGAGCTTCTTACATAACTGCAGCGCATTGTCACAGGCTTCGTAAAAGAATGAAGTCCTCAAAACACAAGGCCACAAAGTCAGCTGTCATATGAACAACGCCATACCAGGATTTAACCAAAAAAATAAAATAAAAAAAAAAAAAGCCCCGATCATATTATTTGCCGATAACCACGTGTTCCTACAATCTTTGTGACTATGCGGTCTGTATTTGTAGTGTAAAACTGGAATTGTTATTTTGCAATCAATTTAATATAAGCTATGATGAAAGTCGTTTTACAGCACTGGCAACTTTTAAAGTTCAACGTTCTTTCAGAGTGGTGTTCCTTAAAACAGGAGTCTTATCACTCTTACAGTTCGGAGTCTTACAGTTAGGAGTCTTATGTACCCTTCTGCATGCCATACTGCAAGAGTGGCAGGGTGCCTCTCGTCTTGGATGTATTGGCCACTTTGGGCATCAGTAATACAGAGTCCTGTGGGGAAGGGAGGTCTCCTATCGGCTGGGAAGTCTACTGAAGCTCTGTAGTATATGGCTGGATATTCTGGAGCATCCAGGAGTAGCATCCTGAAAGGATTAACAGCTACCTTGATAAAAATATCAGTACTGAAAACAAACACTAAACGTCAGAGAGTGCATAATATTCTAAATCTTACCAGTAGTCTCAACGATTCCTTCTAGGATGACAACGATTTCAAATTGCTCACTTCTTAGTGATCTTTGTGAGAGACAAAAAAAGGGGCTCTTCGAGTTAATTTCATGACAGATGGTTAATGGGGAAACTAAAAACAGCTGGTCAGCTCCAGTTCCAAATCCAACATCCAGTTCGCACTGGTCTAGCGGCAGAAATTCTCCCTCCGGTGTCTGTCGGGACTAAAGATTAAAAGACGATTCAGTAATCACCATACGAGGCAAAACATGAAATCAATGCAATGAAGTTTAAACCTGCCACTTTGACGACATTATCATCTACATATTAGGTCTAGGGTCTTCATAATGGAGATATAAGTAATGCTAGATATGGTAAGGCTACTACATATGACTGATTTTTACTTTTCTTATCATGCCACTAGATCTCATCATAATCTACAAACTTTACTACAATATAAATATGTTTTTTGACAAAAACATCGGGTATCACACTACATGCCTTATAATGGATATTTGCCATGAACATCCTGCAGCAGAAATGCCCATTAATGAGAACAAAATCTGCAAGCCAGGCACATTGCAATCTACGGCCTGAATCCATGTTTCATTGGTTTTATATGTTACTGATTTTTGTTTGGCAGATATTGTGATGTACTAACACAAAGGTAAGCATCGTAGCAGTTGTACAGTATGTCCGGTAAGTGACATTTCCACAAAACCATCTGAATCAATATTAATGATGCCATCTTCCCTTGCCAATCTGCATGTACCATCTACTCTATGTTGATCTTAACAATGAACTTATGATCATTATTAAGCTAAGTGCCCCATTTTTTTTCACATCATTTCACGGGTCCAATAAAAATACCAGTACGATAGCTTCCCCCCGCCCTGTAGTGTTCCCCCAAATATTCCAGGTATTCAAAGTGTAACTAAAAATTACATCAGTTGACCAGGCAGCTCCTCAGCTGATTGCGTTAAAGATCTCTGGTGGAAACTGCCCATTAAAATTAAAAGCTTTGCAGAGGCTATTTAAAATCCTTTCTGCTTATTGCTTGATTAGAAAGCACTTAACCACTTAACTCTTTACGATGACTACTACTGATTATAAATTATAAAATTATTCTGTAGTTACTAAATAGTTTTAACTGTGTTGCATTGGTATTGACAAATGTATTGGTTCCATTGCTTGGAAACACCATCCACTAGTCCTGAGAGCAAGCCAAAGCTAGCAGTTTTGCCATTGGCTTAGATCCGATCGGTATTCTTTTAAGAAAGTTTTGGTCTTTAAAAAAAATCCCGTAGCAACTAGTATACCTTCAGATTGTCTCTCTGCTTCACCTGTATCTTAAAGCAGCTGAATTTTTAACTGCCTGGTATGTACTAGTGATTACATAACCAGTTAGGTAGCTGGTAGAGTACAGCTCCTTATTAAATACAAAGGATTATTTTGTTTATGTGCTATGTGTCTGTTTTTCTGCTGAGGACAAAAAAATTCTTCCTACCTAAATAACCAAGTTCTCCTTTGCTCAAGAGTCAGTTTCTCCGCTACTGATGAGGACAGGAAACGTATCAGCTGATAGCTGGTAAAAGCATTCTCAGGGATTATTTGTGCTTTGAAAGGTAAAAGACAGTGCTACAAAACCACTACTATGTAGCAATTGTGACAGTCTCTGTTATATGCAAAGGTGTAACCAAACTACTGCAAAAGCACCCTTCATCTTCTTCTGAGGGAACCTGCAGAACTAAGCTGCAGACTAGGCCACTGCTTTTGTTGCCTGGCTGCTCTTCTTCCAGCGGGTGCACAAATTGGTTGGCAATGTGTGATCTTTGCTTCAAGGTAACAGGGTTCAACGTGAGCTGTATGAACCTACGTTTAAACCTCAAATTTTCCCAAAGTTTTATCAAATACAATTACCTAGACAGAGATGTGCATACTTGCACAAATTTCTGCCTGAATGACTTAAGAACTGCTTCATCTACAAACCATTCTTCTCTGTGGGAGAGCTGTCAATCAAATCCACTCAGTAGTAAATAAATCCAGCGAGGACGATTAGAGGTAACGTATCTGGGAGAAAGCAAAAGTGTGTTTGAGGTATTCGGTGTCTTACATTCTGGACTGCTTTATTCAGGGCATGGAGAATAATTAGAAGAAACTCATTTGTTAAATAAAAAGATATTAGCCTGAATGAAGATAGCCTAATAGCCCTAATATGTTAAGATGCCTAGCCAGCGACCTTTGCTGCCTCTATATAAGCTTTACTCAAAGGATCACAAAACAGAGCAGAGGACTATAAACTGTCAGCAGTAAGTTTGGAAGGAACATTTGTGATTCTTTATTTTGACCAGTCACATAACACAAAGCCAAATAAATTCCGCAGATTAATACATGCTTGACCAAGGGCACGATTACTTAGAAATGCCCCAGCTTTCATTTCAAATGTGGCCAGAGATGGAGAATCCAAAGGTCCAGATGAGTTCCTCCAAAGGTTAATTGCCTCACAGCTAAGAAAAGAAAAGACTCCTTCTGTGACTGGATTTTTCCACCCTTAACTTTCTGCCACTGGATTTTTTTGTTTTGTTTCTTATTACCACGCAGAATTCCATTGCATCATCACTTGGTCAGTTTTAGTGTCTGACCAATCCTTTATTCATTCTTGGCGCTTTTCTAAACTCTGTTGTCCACGCACATCCTTCTCTAACTGGACACAACACAGTTTTATGATTATTAACCCTCTTTCAGTTCACTCGTGTAGAGGATTCACATAATTATGTTTTGATAACTGTGTGGACCAATTAAGCATCGGAGTACATAATGCAGGATGCCAAAGACAGATGACCATTGAGCTTAATATTTCAGTATGTTGTAGAGAAACTCAGGAATCTAGAAAAGGCAAAACTGATACATACTAATTTGCCATACAATACTACAACAGTTTAGATTCTGGAATTTGAGAGGAAAAACGCCGATCTCGCCTACCTGTGCTTCTGCCTCACCCTTAGACTAGCACCTTGAAAGAACATTTATTATATATTACATTACTGACATAATATGAACTTGTTACTTTGATACTACCGTTAAAGATTTGTATGGGTTCTGCTAGTGACACTATACCTGGAACTTTAGCCTAGTTAATTCCCAGGATGACTGCTACTTTTTAATACAGTCCAGTTGCCCCAAGCTATAAATAAGACCTGAGTGAACTGGGCTTGCTCAGATCAAAGAAGAGAAGGCATAGAGGGGGATCTAATAGCAACCTTCCAAAATCTAAGAGCAAGGTAATCAAGAAGACAGAGCCAGGATCTTCACAGCAGCGCACAGCAGGAACAAGAGAGACAACAGGCAAATTGAAACTAGAGAAGTTCGGATTGGATTGAAGAAAAACTTTACCATCATGAGGACAGCTAAGCAGTGGAAGGGCTTGCCCAGCAAGGCTGTGGGGTTTTTGTCCTATGAGGTTTCCAAAACCAGAATGGAAAAAGCCCAGAGCAACTTGGTTTGACCACATTTTGAGCAGGAGATTGGACTAGAGACCTCTCGAGGTCCATTCCAACCTGAATGACTCCCTGTTATTAAAAAACATATTGTTTGCACCTTCTGCATGTGACCTGCCGATTGAGTTACTGAGATCACAATATAACGAGTCTTTGTACTTAGTTGCAGTGCTTGTCACCTGCCATCTGCGAACTTTGTTGTAATTTTGTTTGCTTTCAGATTATTCAAAGCTGTTAATTAGTACAGCTCAGAGAACAGGTGCCTGCTGGTCATAAAGCAAAGTGCACTGGCTTTAAGGCTACTATGCTTCACGACTCTATTTTTATAACTATTGCTTAGCACATGTTGAAAACAGGCTACAATGATTTTACGTTCCTTGGAATTCTGAATCAGAACATCTTACGCTCCCAGTTAAAACACTTTACGTACCACTTTACACACAAACAGTCATGTTTATCCGTGACATCTGCAGTCCCATCAAGAGAAGATAATAGGTATTGAAACTAAAAAATCAATATTGATAGCCATACGGTGGATGCTGGTTGCTACTGCTTTCACCAGATTGCTCAGACGTACTAGGGAATTAACAGGCATCCAGAGATTAACAGGCAGAAAAATACAGTTCGCTCTGGCACTGAAAAGGGCAGAACCTTTTCATATTTCACTAACTGCACATTTTCAGCAGCTCCAACCAGCTTTTCTATTTCTTGCACCAGGAGCTTGCTTCTTCCTGTTTCTAGCGCACTCAATCTAAATTAGAAAGACTCAGGTTTCTGGAAAAGTTTTTTGCTATGGGCAGCACTAGGGATTTTAAAAGGAAATCAAGAGGTAGGTCAACTCTTAAACACAGGAATGCAAAGATGCTAATCCTCGGTCTGCATTTGAAAGAAATTAGCATGCACACTTAGTCTCGTAACTGTTTTCCAAACTCTCCACAACTAAGACCAAAAAGAGTCCCAGACTTTTCCATGACATCACTATGCCATGCTGCTGGGCAGTCCCCTGGACCAAAAGAGGAAGCCAGCACAGTGTGGTGGCACCGCTGTAATCTATCAAATATCCTAGGGCATCCACGACACTTCCAGCAAATGTCATTCAGACAGACTCAGACTGGCATATTTACAAATGTAAGTCCTCAGAGCTTCTTGGTCTAACGAAAACACTATGTTCACTACTAAGTATGACGCCTGTCTCAAGTACAAAAGTGTGATAAGACATACTTCTTCACATTCTTTCACTGCGACACAAGTAAAAAAATTTCTAGCTATCTAATTGGGTGCAGGAGAAGTGCAGCAAGATCAGCTGTCAACAGCACGGCATAAAGCACAGCTGAAAGGGCACAAATCACAACAACACATAACTTGCTGAAATTAAATGGTAAGTGAGTTTCAGCACATACACCTGTTTACAGGACAAACAAAGCTATTTCAAAGCAACCGACGTCAATTCACACACTGCCGGCAAGGCTGCTATGACTGCTGGAACGGTGTGTCCAGTTCAAGGCGCACCTCAACGAACTGAGAAAGATTTACAGAAAAACGTGGGAACTAATACCACGCCTTGTAATGAGGACTGACGGGGCAGCTAGTACACAAGTGTTCGCTTTTAAACTTCACTGTGTCCATAGCTTATATTTGCCAAAGGTCACAAAGAAGCTTGAAGACAAGTCACTGGTGTGATGGTCATTTGAAAGAAATAAACGATTACTCACTGATTCATTGTCTAGTCTATGAAACAGCTATCATAGGATGAATCAGTCAAGCAGGTCCAGCAAACGGTCTTGTTTTTTCTGTCCCAATCATCTGCATACCAGCATTGTGTAGCAATAGAATTACCAGCAGAAAGCGCACGAGGGTGTGTGTCTGGTATTTTATTTCAAAAGTTTATAGCAAATTATCATCACAGTAAAAACACAACTGTGACACTGCTTTTATTCCACTTTGACTCGCATTCCGTCTTGAATGATGGACAGAATTAAATACTTTAGCAGAGGCTCTCTGCTCATTTTTAATAGTTAAACAAAAATCAGGGTTTAGCTGGCTTTCCAATTCCTACAAAAATTGCTCCATTGTAACTCCTGACAGCTTGTTTGCATATATATATATATATCCAACCTCCTGTTGAATCTTAGCAGATTCTTCATTCTAAATGGTATTCTGCAGACATAAAAATTAGCAGCTCAGTCAAGCATTTTGCACAGAATAGAAGGAAAACAGCCTTTTGCATTTACATCGTCCCATCACTTACTGTACCACGCTTGTTTCTGCAGATTATTAAAATGGACAAACAGTTGCTCCAAAGAGAGGATTACCATAGAGAATATAAAACATTTACAAGATGGAAATATGGCATTTTGAAATTAACATCATCACTGGGATACAGGTTCCGATGCTCCCCACCAGGCATGCTCCTGCGACAAGACGTAGCTGCTATGAGCTGCTACGTTGCTTCGTCTCGGCATGCCACACGCAGTGTTCTCCTTCCATTCTACTCATGCCCGATATATCTTCCAGACTTCTATGCCCGCCAAACTCTACTGTCTCCTGATGATTTTTTTTTTTTTCACGACCTCCTTTGAATTCCAGTTTTCTTGCATTCTGAATTATGCTGACCATTCTCATTGATTAATACATAGATATTGGTGACAGTCAAAAGGCCTTTCCACCGAAGAACCTGCACAATCCCTCTAACATGCTGGGAGGCCACTGGCTGGAACCATGGGATAAGGAACTGCACATAAAAGCTCCCCTAGTTTCCCCATGGGGAAGAGGATTTTGAGGTTGATCTTTGTCCTAATTTAATGTCACTACAAGTCAATTTCTTATTCCAAGCTGAGACCTCCTAAGGAGTATGCCTTAGTGACCCTCCCTGCAGCTACCACGTATCCTGACACATCCACCCTTTCTAACCGAATTAGCTTCCTGCCAGCCTTACAATCCACTGGAGTGCCCCTGGGGAGGTCTGTGACGAGACTGTCTTTTCCCGTAGGCCTGCTTGGCTCTTTTGTGGCTCCTACTATGGGCAGCCACGGCAAGTTTTTCCAAAGTCTTTCATACCGCCCAGGCTGCACCCTGTTACCCACATGCCAAGGGACAGGGCAGCTGCCCCTGGGGCAGGGCAGAGCCCACCAGCAGACGGCAGCAGGGGTTGCACAGGGGAAGCCCCATGCTACCTGTGCTATGGGGACATGGCTGCACTTGGCCCACACCCTGCCCGCATCGCCTGCTGCAACCCAGATGCCCGATCCTACCAGCTGTCGCGCCAGGCCTCACCTTGATCAGCTTGCAGCGGATCTGAGCAGACACCATGTGGCTGTTGCGGAGGTTGCCAACACGGAACATAAGGCAGAGCTTGCCATCCCGCTGCGAGACGACTGCGGCATGGCTGAACATGAGGGTCTCAGCTCGCTTCTTGGGCTGGGACATCTTGATGAACATGCAGCCAATGAGAAACGCATCGACGACGGAGCCCAGCAGCGACTGGAAGAGGAAGAGCACAATGCCCTCAGGGCAGCGCTCGGTAATGTAGCGGTGCCCATATCCGATGGTGGCCTCGGTCTCTATGAAGAAGAGGAAGGCGGAGGGAAAGTTGTACACATTGGCCACACATGGACTGTAGGTGTCATCATGCGCCCGGTGCAGGTCGCCTCGCAGGTAGGCAATGCCCCACCACATCGAGGCCATGACCAGCCAGGCGACTGTGTAGGTCAGCAAGAAGATGAGCAGGTTCCAGCGCCACTTGAGGTCCACCAGCGTGGTGAAGAGGTCAGAGAGGTAGCGGCTGCTCTCACCACCCAGGTTCCCGTGTTGCACATTGCAGCGCCCGTTTTTGTCCACAAAGCGCTGCCGCTCTCTGCGGGTGCCACCGCGAGCTGGGCCCACCGCCTGGTACTCATCCCCAAGCTTCCTGCGCACAGCAGACATGCTCCCGGTTGCCGAGGCCCTCTGCGGGCACAGTGAAGGACGCGGCGGGGCGGGGCGGCAGCACCTCGCTGTCGGCGCGCGGCAGCCGCCCAGCGCGGCACCGGCCCCCGGGGAGCGAGGCGCACCCGGGAGTCAGCCGCCGCCAGCGCTCCCCGCTCGCCGGCAGCGCGGGGGAAGGTCGGGTAGAGCCGTCAGACGAGACCGAGAACGCGCCGGCGGCGCCGCGCAGCCGGCGGCGGAGCTGGACCGCGGGGCGGGGGCGGGGGCAGAGCCGGAGCCGGCTCGCTGAGCCCCGCGCGGTCGGGCGGTCGGGGCGGCGGACCCCGAAGGAAGCAGAGCGAGCAGGGCCGGCCGCGGGCCGGGCGACGGGTCGCCGACGTCTTCTTGCTCCAAGCCGTTTGCAGTCAGCGCCTCGTTCCGCGCTCAGAGACCCTCGGGCGAAGGCGAACGCTTACTTTACAAATGTCGTTTCACCGTAACGTCCTGGTAGCGGAGTTCAGGCTGCCGGAGATTCGAACAATAATGGAAGCGACACGGAGTCATCTGCTGAGAGGCGGTGCTACGGGCAGCACTAGGGATTTTAAAAGGAAATCGTGAGACAGGTCAGCTCTTAAACAAAGGAATGCGAAGATGCTTAATCCTCAGTCCTCATTTGAAAGAAAATAAGTATTCCAAGTAAACCCGTCCTAGTCCACCGGAGTTAGACCGTAGTCACCGCTATGCATTTCTGCTTAGCGCCGAACTAATAAGAAGCTGTTCAAAAGACAGTTCTCTAGAAGCTTAAGAGATTTCAGTGCAGCTCTCCTGTTTTTGTATGGAAAAGATCTGAAATCAGCAGTGTTTGCTGCTAATAGAAACTCAAAGTGGGACTACCCTACCAACCTTCCGCCCTCCCCCCTTAGTTCTAACCTTGTTTCTCAATCGGTATGTGAATTTAATTCTCAGTTATATAAGAACAGCATTATCATTCAGCTCTGTCATTTCAACACCTAATTTTCAGCATTACAAAACCGTAGCCAGCATTTGCTGAGTTTTTGGAAAATAAGTCCGTAATAACTGGCGATTGCATTTTGCTTCAGTTCTAGACTGGGAACTGAATAAACTATTAGTCTGTCTGAGGTTTAATTTCAGTGTTTTCACCAAATGCCAAAGCATAGGCAAGCATTTTTAAGATGTTCACACTATCAATCTTGACATTATTTCATTATTATTGTCCGAGAAGGCTCTGTGCTTAGCTGCAGTAGGTGCTTTGTGGTACTTCAGGAGCTGTATTTCCCAGAACTCAAGAAGATCACAGTTCTCTTCCCTTTAATTTCCCCCCAGATCAGGCACATCATTTTCACTGCAAATACGTAAAGCAAATATCAGATTGGCTGAACTACTTGAGATCAATTTCACTGGTTAGCCAAACTTCATAAAAATACTTCCTTGTCCCTAAGTATCCATTACCAGAAGAGTATTATACTTTTGACAATTCTTGCAAAAGGACTACAGCAGTGGAGTCAGTGAGAAGGCATCATCCAAGCTGTGGATAAAGCCCTTTTGCTGATTTTTTAACAGTCCAACAATAATCACATATCTCCAGGAATATGCCCACTGGTTGGACAGTTTCTTAATACTCAGAAGGGTGAGACAGTAACAGAAGAGCCTACCTTCTGTTCTAACTCTCTGTTAATTTTCCAAAGCATATATTGTGTCTTTTGGAGATAGGTTTGCTATCTAATACACACCAAAGAGAAATTTGATTACCTATCTATCTGTACAGGACACAAATATCCAGCTGTCGTAATTCTACGCTCCTTCCTTGCAGGTTAAGCAGATGATGCCAAGCCTTACCACCAACTGAGAAGTGCCTCGTGGCTTTTGTCATGTGGTTGCACACCTATCCATGCTACACAGCACAGTAAGATGGAAAGAATACAGAGCTCACATCAGTGTTTCAGCATGGCTGGGTCAGCACCGTACAGATGCCCAAGTTTCTTGGGTCTCAGCTGGGCTCATTAGTCTGTCTGTAGTACCACAGTAATGCTCCCATTCTGGAACCACCTCAGACTTCACTAGTTGCACTGGTCTTTAAACCCTACTTCACTCACTCCTGGGGAACAACGCCTGCATTTCTTTTACTGTTCTCTAACTGTGCAACATTTTCCACGACCTTGTCCTCACTCACTTACCCCCTTAAAGTAAAAAAAACAACCAAGTAACCAAAAAAAAAAAAAACAAACAAACAAAAAAAACACCTCAAACCTCTCAGATACCCTCAACCAATCATTTCCAGAATAATTCGCAAGAACTAAACATGTCAGCCTTAATGGTTTAATGATTCTTAAGACATACACTTGGATGTATCAGTACACGCTGGACATTAATGACGTAACTCCTCTTCCTTGACATCCATTCTTTAACTCTTCCTCCCTCTTTACGCAGTACATCTAACATCAGAGTACAAATACATGTGGAGGGGGCAATATTTTGGGTTTAATTTGCTGTCAGTGGCATAAACCTCAGCTTAACTAGACTCTGCAGACACTTTGAACAGAGAGCTAATGACATACAGTTTGAATTTCCTTTCACGTAAATCTTCAGCTTACTAGGGAGCCACACTGTTCTGCAAACTGGCTACTTGCACTGTACAAATCTTAGCCTATCCAAAAAGTAATATGCTCATTATGAATTTGTTACTACTACAGGTAGCAGCATTACTGCTGCGTGCAGTGGTGAAGGTGTATTACAAGACAGCAGTTCTGTATGTACTGCTGTATAAACAGTACCTCAGAGCACACTGGAGGTTAATTAACAGAAGACCCATACTGCTTGCTTGCAGACAACCGTCTTCAGTTGTGGGGTGGCCTAACGCTCTTTTGTTCACAGGAGAAATACCGGGTTTGCCCATCGTAGGAGCACCTTCCTCTGATTTTCCCCTTCTGATTCCCTTACCAGGTTGCACATACTAATCATGTGGATACATCCTGACCTTCAACTGTATTAGCTGCTTTTCATAATGTCAGGTAGAAAGTAGGAACCTGGGTCTTCCTGGACAAACTCCTGTGTTACTTACTGCCAGGGCAGATGGGATCTGTAGATAAAATACAAGGCTACTAGTGACATGCAGAGTCTTGGGATAATGTACATGTGTATCATGGGGCTTGAGTATACATTACTGATATGCTGGTCTTTCAAATTAGGAGACGCGTGCCTACTGAAAGAGCAAACTTGCTAAACTCAGTCTGACTGAGAAAATCCCCACTGCCTGGAAATCTCTGTTTTGTGACATATAAAAAAAAAAAAAAAAAAAAAACCAAACCACAAAACAAAACAAAACAAAAAAACACCAACAAACAAACAAACCCCAAACAACTATTCCTGACAGTCGGGACAATCATTTCTGTTCATTCATCTGCTGCAAACAAGATATCGATTTATGGCTCAAGTATTAGTAAGGATGGTTTGTACATAAGAATCTCAGTTGTTAGCCTTCATTTGTCAAAAAATAAATAATCTTATGGAATGTTTTTCTTATTCTGTGTTAACTCCATATCAACGTAATATACAAGCAGTGAGAAACTTGAAGTCTTTCAAGGTTAGACTAGACGTAAACAAAGTTCTACAAATGACCGTTCACAAACTGGATAACCCCGACTGCATTTTCAAAATCATTTTGATTTTCGACATGTTTTGACGGCACTCAATGGAAAAGTCGTTATCCATAACTAAAGCGGGTGTGATGGAGGTCGGTTCTGCAGAATCCATAGCAGTATTTCAATCTGACTCAGCTGCTGCTGAAAAATGCAAAACAGGCGATAGAACTCTTATCTTCTTCTCTCTTCTCTTCTAATTATAGCCAAAGGAAAATTTATCAGATTGTGAACTTTGGATCTTTTTCAGCCTGACACTAGTGTTTGAAAACATAATCATCTGAGCTTCAGATTTTTATCTCCTAGGTTTTTAGGCAGGCATTCGTTCAGAAACTGGAATTTGTCATTTTGTTATTTTATTAAGAGCAGACAAAAGACATGCTTTGGCCTTACAAATATTTGCTTGCTTTCTGCTTGAAAGGGTAGTTGTTGGGAAAAAAAAGCAGTCTTTAAAAAGGCAACACGTTCACCTTCAAAGTTTGAAGTTCTTCATCTTTGTAATAAAAATCTGCATGTAAGAATATTCTGCCTGACTGTTAAATCACATAAACAGTAGCCCACTAGCAAGATGTTCTTTAGTAGGGGTTTCTCATCTTCCTCCACAAACACTAATTATTAAATCCATAAAATCTGTACAGTGTTGTTTAAAAGAAAACCCTCCACCTGTCACACAATAGCTACGGTATTTCAGAATCATGTTTGAATTCAGTGATGCAGTCATAGCACAGTAATGTAAGTTTAACTCTCCTATAACTGCACAGAACTGAAAACCTATTTGTAGGTTTTTGCATTTCATGGGATTTTCCTTTTCATTGTTTCTTTTTTGTTTCTCTTCTTTTTCCTTATAAAATAATAAGTGAAAGTTGCTTCAATAAAAAAAAAGTCGTAGGATACAAGAAACAGCAATTTGATTTTTTCCCCCCCGGTAACTACAGCAGACTGGTAAAGTATTAATAGATGTTCTTATAATGATTAACTTATATTTGAAGATATCAGCTGATCCTGTATGCATTTAGTAACATTGCCACCATCATATCTGCAAAACCACACTGAGTAAACCCTTAAACTATCTGCAGTGAATAAGTAACTGTAAAGAAGTAAAACAGATTTGGCAATTACACGTGTAACTGTGACTTAAGAAACTGTATGCATTTTCACACATTAAATGAAAATTTAACAACGATCAAAGAGGCCTGCTGGCAAGTCTCCGCGTGCCTTTCTCGCTCTATTTTGACAAATTCTGTAAGTTTTCCTATACTTTTACAATCACAGCAGTGATTGCTGCAGATGAAAGCACTGCTGTTTATACCCTGACTTGAAAGAAAGAAAATGTTATTTTCTTTCACGTTATTCTTTATTCAGGTGAACCTTAGGAGAATACTCTGAAACAATTCTATTTTGCCTTTAATTAACGCCATTTATCGCCACAATGATGTATGACTAATGAACAGCTTTGGAGAAATTAGTATTTAATTATACATTAAATTCTACAAAGCATAAAATTATCATGAATGTTTAGTAAATACTTTGATAAATAGCTTGATTATTCTTTCCAAAGTTCTGTGCTTCAGACTAGCCTTCATGTATATACATATTTTAAAAGGATGTTTTACTCCTAGGAGCTTGACTGACCCAGTTAGCTATACTCCTAAATTGCTATTTAGTATTGCATCTGGTCAGTGGCTAACAGATTGTCCTATCCTTACTGCTGAGAATGTTTAAGGATTGAAGAGCTAGAGAGGGTCCTCTTCAAGCTAAAACTCATCTGTTCCTAACCTGTCTCCCAAATAATACCATTTTTTTTCCCTGGGAAAAACAACAACGAAAAAATAAGCTATTTCTGTATAGTCTAGAGGATCTTCTGCCATACTGCTGTGATTTTTTATTGACCATCTCTTGTCATCTCTCCATTGAATGCACTTTTTGTCTTTACCTTGAAAGACTGGATTGCTTCTTGTGCATAGCCTGCCCAGTGTCCCATGAGATCAGCCTGTGAGCTTCTGATCCCTTGAGGCCTGGTCATCAAACATCAACCATCACGACCTGCCCCCAAGTAGTTCTGTGCACGTTCCAAGGCCACGGCCCCCCTTCTTGGGATGAATCCCCCTATAAAAAAATCCAGAAAGCCACTGCGGCGTCCTCCAATGCCACAGCACACCGGATAGCTGCTAGCTAAGGGACTAGAAGGCTATACTCACCACCATCATCGCTGACTTCCCAAGGGCGACTTCATAAAAGGGGTCCTGGCGTCCGGCTAGCGCAGAGCCGGGCTAGGTTATCCAGATCCGTCCGGCGCCCCCGAGACCTCCCCAGCTCCCCTGGGGGGGCGTGCGGCCCCTCACAGGCAAGCCGCGTCCCGAGTCGCTAACCACGGGAGGAAACCGCCGACCGGAGCTCGCCGCTGCTAGGCTTGACCGCGCGGTGCCGCCTCGACTCTACGCTGCGGTTTCGCGGCGAATTCCCAGCGGCGCACGAAAACCCAAGCGCGCTGCAGCCGGTCTCGGTCTCGGTCACGGCCCCGCTCCCGGCGGGACCGCCCGCCCGCGGATGAGCAGGCGGGGGCGGAAGGAGGCGGCGCGTAGAACGGCCCTAAGGGCGCATGAGCGAGACGCACAGACGGGAGTGGCAGCGAACTGCTCTGCGGCCTGCCGAGGCTGGCCGCCAGCGCCGCGTGGGCCCGGCCTCTGGCCCGCACCCGCAGGTAACGGTCTCCCGGCGGCAGCGTTGCTCCTGAACCGCGGCGCGGCTCTGTACCTGCGGGGCCGGCTAGGGCGACGCTATCTGGCACCCGGGCGGGGCGGAGCAGGGCCGGGCCCGGCCCGGCACTGACGCTTCTTTCGAGGTGGGGGCCCCGGCGTGGTGGGAGCCAGATGGTCCGCTGGGGTCTGCCTGGCGGGCTCTGGCCGAGGGCTTCGGGCCGTGCCTGGCGGAAGCTCTGCGGAGTCCTCCGGGTGGTGGAGATGAGACGAGACGGGAGAGGTTCTCGCAGAGCCTGGCCTCGCGTCTGAGGAAGCAGGTTTGGAAGAGGACGTCTCGCTGCCGGCGTGCGGGAAGTCCGGTCCGGGGCGTAACCTCGCTCCGTACCCGTAGGGCCGGCGGCTGGGCCGTGAGGAGGATCGGCAGCGCTAGCCTTGCCGCCGGCAGAATTATCGGTGCCCGAGCTCGGTGGAGCCTGTGGCAAGCTCCCTCCGGAGCGGGAGAGACCCGCCCGGGGGGAGCTGGTCTGCCGCTCCGTGCTCCGCCCCTCGGGCTCCCGCCAAGTCCCCGGGTCGCCTGGGGGGCGCCCGGCTGAGTCCCGACCGCCGGCCCAGGGGCGGCGTTCGGTACCGCGCGCGGGGCAGAGGCGCTGCGTGCTGTCGTTGGGGGCTGGGAACGATGTGCGGTTTTCTCCGTGCGTCGCTCAGCCGTCGGAGCGGTCGCTCTTTTAGTGCTAAGTAGCAGTAGTGCCCAGCAAAAGCCTAGTTCGGTCAGATTTGGACACTTGTGTAGGTAAAAGCAAAGTGAGGAGAAATACTGCGTTGCAGTTGTCCGCTGTGATCTTAGTAGTATGCAGATGCGTTTTCTGACCTAATCACTAGTCTGATGTTCTCCTGGAAAGATATCAACATGAAACTGTTTTCCCAAATGAGATCTACCGCTTTGACCGATATAGCTGAATTACAGAAGCTTTATGTTGTATTAGGCTGTGAGCCACACTAGGTTGATTTTTCCAAGGTAATGGAGTTATGCCAAAGCATATAATGCTTCTGTTTAATCCCCTTCTTTGACGACATGTAGAGCATCAGTTTATTTAGCCCTTTCCAAATATCAACAGGCTTTTTCCTAGACATGGAAGGTGTTTCAAATGTTCTGTCTTGGGTACAGCTGAGCAAGGATACGTGTGAAAAATGAATTGTGGTTTAGGGTAGCTATTTTTAGAGAGGAAAAGTGTCCTTGAGCCCATACATACTACGGTGATGAAAGGGCAGATTCATGGTTTTGAGTCCCTCTTGCAAAATATCATGTGATGGGGCTGAATTTAATAACTTGAAGCAATCCCTGAGTATTGACATGGGGTGTCCTGGTGACAAATTACTGGGTATGTGATGTTTTTCATTCTTTTGAGTGTTCATTCCAATCAGTCTTGGCTAACAGAATTTTTACTGAGCATGGGAAATGCCTCTAGGGGAAGCCTCCATTTTAACCGCTGTGCCTAACTTATCTAAATCCGGTGCTTCTGAGTTTGCTGTCAGGTGTCTGAGGTGTTAAAACATATTTTCCAGATTCCCCTGTGGCATGCTTTTTCACTAAGAGTCTGGAAAATAACTCGCCTTTTCTCGGGGTTTGGTGCTAAATAAGTTTGACTGTTGGAAGCACACATTTGTTACAAAGAGCACGCGATTAAAATTCCCCTTCTTGATAATTAGAGAATTTTTTAAATATATGTCAAATGAAATGCAGTAGTCAAGGAACCAGAGCTGTTGAGTGAATTGCCTATATAATTCTTTTGGCATGCAGTATGTGGGTGGATGTGTGAAATGTTTATTTCTTCAAATCAATAGGTAATAGAAATGCTTTTGACAGTTCATTAAATAAATGTGTATTATATGTAATATACTGGAGTACGATCTGTAGATTAGAGTGAAGTTTCAACACTTCTAGTTCACTTGCTTAGAGAACTCGGATATGTTTTGACACCCAGGTAGACTAACTAAACATACCATTAGAAAAGATGGGTGCAAAACACAAGTGATTGCTGAGCTTAATATTTCAGTACATTGTAGAGAAACTCAGGATTCTAGAAAATGCTAAACTGGTATATGCTAGTTTGCCATGCTGTACTACAGTATGTTTGGGAAGCTAATCAAAATAAAATTGCATCAGAAACCCATCACAGTTGTGTAATGTGATCAAATATCAGAGATTTATCTGTAAGTAGAAATGCAAGGAGCATCCTTTATTGCATTTAGCAAAGAGAGTATCCCACATTTCTTTCTAATCCTTTTTGCGTGCTGTTGTGGCTGTTTATTTTTCTGCAAGCATTAGTCTAAATTTTATGATCATGAATGAGATATTTAAACAAAGAACATCTTGCTGTGACAGCATTGTCTTTCTTGCTCTATTTCTGTGTATACGGTGTTTTAGACATCCATTCTATGGCATCCTTTTTTCTTTTATGCCCTTTCAGACAGTTACTTAGGCCTTCTAAAATTGTCTATCTTCAGAATAGAGTAGGGAAACATCAGCTCTTACCAGCTATCCAAGATACCATATGGTTATTACATAACATATTTTTCGTGTTGTTACTTGTGTAGCAGAATAACTGTAGGACTCTGCCTGACTCAGGTTAAGCTGAAGCCTTGAGAGAAAGACTTACTTGGAAGTTACTATGTTTACATGATTGACATTTTTCTTGCATGCTTGAGCATAAATATTATCTTTGCTCGTTTCAGGACTGCCTCTGAATCACAGTCCAGAAAGAAGAAACAATCGTGTTGATTTAAGTTGAACATTTGTCTCTAAGATTAAGAGCAAAACCATGCCAGTGCTTTCGGAAGACTCAGGTAACTAATATGCATGCTTTCAACAGAACATTGCCTGAAATCTTAGTGTATGTGTTCCGTGCGGGAAATTAAGTAAAACTGGAGTTACATAAAATAGCATTATGGTAATTCAATTAGATTTCTTAGCAGTTATCTAAAAGAATACAAGGAAGGTGGAATATAAAAGGTGGAAATGAATATAGGCAGATTTCAGGAGATGCCTAGTTTCGTAAGAACCCTACAGCCCGTGAGTATATGCTGGTAGACAGGCTCCTATAAACAGACTTGGACCTCTCAGTGTAGCACTGGCTTCTATGCATGCTTATTAAAGATCAGCCTTCATATCTCTGCTGTTTGCTGTGCCACCTTGATGTTTTTTGAATAGGTGTTGATAAGCTCTGTTAATATTCTTCCTTTTGATTTTAAAAAACCCAGTGATTCCATTCAAGACTTGCTAACCAGCTTCTCTGGTATGCTACCCAGGGTGAAGTCATGTGTGCTAATGATACCGAGTTCTAATGCAGAAGTGAGTTTGAGTTTCTTGGATCCACGTGCACTCTAAAGTTCATGGAGAGAATATCCAAAGGAGCAGATTTTAGAAAGCCCTCATCTGTTTTTTGTTTTTGTTTTCCCAGTCACAGTCCACCAGGAAGAACCTAACATTTGTCTGGCCCTGTGCCCTGCAAAATTGGGATATTGATTTAATCACTTTTTGGAAAACTAGCCTCAAGCATTGCTTCCACTGCAGTGGAAATACACATCAGTACTTTCCTTCTCTGGTCAGACCTGACTTCTGAGAGATATCTCAGAAGTAGCAAGGGCAGGATAACACTTGTAAGCAAAGTTGCTAGGGAAGTACAAGCTGATAGCTGTGCAACACAGAAGGTAGTTCGGTCATTTTGCAAATATTCTGTGGCACACTGATAACACAGTTTCTTAGAGGGCCAGCTGTTCTAGAAACAAAGGATAATTAACTTGAATGGGGAAACTTCAAAAGTAATGTCTCTAAAAATATGTATTGCTTTGGTAACTTTTGCCTTAATATGATATATGTAATATATTAAATTGTGTTTGCCACTTAAGAAGAAAGCATTACGGAATGAGTGCAAGATAAGCACAAGTCTTTGCAAAGTTAATGATTACCAAGATGATACCCGAGTAAATGTAGCTGATACTGAGTCTGCAATATAAAGTCCCATGAGACGTGCTATCTACAAAGCTTTTATTCTGTCTTAAATTTACATTTAGGATTGCATGAAACTTTGGCCCTTTTGACATCTCAGCTAAGACCTGATTCAAATCATAAAGAGGAAATGGGATTCCTTAGGGATGTCTTCAGTGAAAAGAGTCTCGGCTACCTGATGAAGGTACAAGTGCGTTTATGAATGTATATTTTCCTTATAGGTTACTTATTCTCTGTTTCCTTAATGTATAGACTGCTGACTTTGTGAAAGCTTTTTTTTTTCGGTAGAATTCTGTACTGACCAAAGCATGTATGTATTTAGGCACAAACAGGAAGAACATTTCTTGAAAAATAACATACTGTGTTCAGAAAAACTTTCTGCTTTGACTGCCAAAATGCAGATACAGTGCTCTGTAGCTAAAAAGCAGTGTGAAATAGCTTCATTTTTTCCCCTTACACTGCTGACATCTTAACAGATTGTCTGTGAAACTAATATGAACAGGAAGAAAACTAAAAGACTCCTAAACAAAACAAATCACCTCAAGAGAGGTTATTTTTCTGATAGTTATCTCAGAAAAATTATGTTCCTTAAATA